CGAAGCTCCTATCATTCAGAAATCTGCAGCTGTATAAGAAAATAAATGGCCAAAATAAAGTGTCTGTAGCGCTCTGGTCAGGCAGTCGATCAGTGTCGTGTTCACTATAAGTCAGGTTAATTCTGAAATGTATTCAGGTCTTCTCTTATGCAAGCTGAAGGAAATCTTGTGGTATGTTATCAGATTAGTTCCAGAGAGGAATCGGTTACAAAAGAGTGCAAGAGAGAGAGAGAGAGAGAGAGAGAGAGAGAGAGAGAGAGAGAGAGAGAGAGAGAGAGAGAGAGAGAGAGAGAGAGAGAGAGAGAGAGAGAGACGAAGAGGGTGAGCTAGCTCATTTAATCCTCGCCTGACTTGCATGTGTAAAATGTCGTCTCAACAAATATATCTTCGAGAAATCATAAACATACCAGACGAATTTCCCCCCACAGGAGGCTCTAGCCTGCACCTGATGTGACTGTACCCACACACACACACCAACTATACACCCACACACACCAATTATACACCCACACACGCCAACTATACACCCACACACACCAACTATACACCTATACACCCACCCACACCAAGTATACACCTATACACCCACCCACAATACAAATCTGTAACTATGACCATGCTCGATAATGAACTCGTGTCAAAATACCATCCTTCGGCTTGATGTTAATCCCCTAGAACTGGAGGCATTGGTTGACAAAGGGAGAGGTATAAGTGTGAGATGCGCATGAAGTAAGGGCCAGGAGGCTAGGGGCGTGCCACTGTTGCTGGCTCGGAGGGCAGGGCCTCGCCAAACGACCCTTCCCCGCCAGGTTGGTGAAAGCAGGTTCAGAGGCATCCTCCTCGGTCAGCGAGGGGCTCGAGGCAGTCTCCAAGAATGGTGTCACAGCTGACACCACCCTGGCCGGTGTTGGAAACTGGTACTCATTTGTTTATATATTTACGCGCGCGCGAGTGTGTGTACTCACCTATTTGTACTCACCTATTTGTGCTTGCGGGGGGTTGAGCTTTGGCTCTTTGGTCCCGCCTCACAACTGTCAATCAACTGGTGTACAGATTCCTGAGCCTACTGAGCTCTATCATATCTACATTTAAAACTGTGTATGGAGTCAGCCTCCACCACATCACTTCCTAATGCATTCCATCCGTTAACTACTCTGACACTGAAAAAGTTCCTTCTAACGTCTCTGTGGCTCATGTGGGTACTCAGTTTCCACCTGTGTCCCATTGTTCGCGTCCCACCAGTGTTGAATAGTTCATCCTTGTTTACCCGGTCGATTCCTCTGAGGATTTTGTAGGTTGTGATCATGTCTCCCCTTATTGTGTGTGTGTCTTATTGTGTGGCTAATTGTGTGTGTGTGTGTGTGTGTGTGTGTGTGTGTGTGTGTGTGTGTGTGTGTGTGTGTGTGTGTGTGTGTGTGTGTGTGTGTGTGTGTTAAATATGACGGAAAATGTGAGAGGAATGAGTCTTCAGCACGAATCTTCTCTATATTTATTATGTTCTTCACTTGAGAAGGACTGGACTATATGTCGGGCTGGTGGGACATAGGACAAGGTTCTGGGGTCGGGCTGCGCGTAGTTCTAAACCTACCGGGGACCACGAGCCAGAACCTGGGCCCCCTCAGAGAAGCACGAGGAGCAATGGCCTATAGAAACCCCCGTGTAGCTGGAAGCATTCTATATCTGCCATCGACCGTGGTGGACCGTATTGACTGAGGACAAGGGGAGGTTGTGTTGATTGGGCGGCCTGGCGGGAATTATCGAGAGGACAAGCGGGACTGACCTGTTGCCTCAGACAGGGAGATGGGGGGAGTGTGGGGAGGCTGGATCGAGATTATGTAACTGACAATGAAAGAGCCTAGAGATACCCTTCTCTTGCCCTTCCCTCACCCCTAACACTACCACTAGGTGGTCCTACACAGCATTCTGGACGTTGTGGCAGATTGAGAGACTGTGTTAAGGGGAAAAGGGAACATAAAATATCATGCAAGTTGCCTAGACAGTGTTGTCATGCCAGTAGTGTTGTCATGCCAACAGTGTTGTCATGCCAGTAGTGTTGTCATGCCAACAGTGTTGTCATGCCAACTGACAGTGTTGTCATGCCAACAGTGTTGTCATGCCAACAGTGTTGTCATGCCAACTGACAGTGTTGTCATGCCAACAGTGTTGTCATGCCAACAGTGTTGTCATGCCAACTGACAGTGTTGTCATGCCAACTGACAGTGTTGTCATGCCAACTGACAGTGTTGTCATGCCAACTGACAGTGTTGTCATGCCAACTGACAGTGTTGTCATGTCAGTAGTGTTGTCATGCCAACAGTGTTGTCATGCCAGTTGTGTTGTCATGCCAACAGTGTTGTCATGCCAGCAGTGTTGTCATGCCTGAAGTGTTGCCACAGTCGCCTGGCCAAGCCACGTCGAACACTTCTCAGCCTCGCAGGATTGGGGTCCATGAGAATGTTCTTGTTGTTCTTATAAGACACTAGTTTTGTATATATATATA